TACAGATGGCTAGATTAAATTTAGCAGCTTTCGACATAGCGGTGGGGGACTCCAGTGAATGCTGGCCCGCTGTCAAACCGTCACGAGCTGCTGGGACTATTCATGACAGTAGCGCTTTTGCCCCCAAACGTGACAGGTCTGAATGTCAGCTGTCAAAAACATGCCATAGGGAGGGCCAAATATGGATTTTGGTTCCTTCGTAAGGAGATAGCTGTGAGTCTGTGACCCAACAATGCTTTAGCCAAATGTACACACCGGTTTCCAGCTCTGATCTCCTTCTCTCTTTCGCTCTCTCTCTTTCTCTCTCTCTCTCTTGCTTGAAGGGAGCCTCTGAAAACTAGGCTAGGATTGACGTGCTGCTTGTGCCTGAGTCATGAGGGCAGCGGAACACTGAAACCCACTGACTGCATTTAACTTGAGGCGTTCGACTCCCATGCACGGTGCATGGTAATGCGAGGTTGTCCACCAAGGCACACTGCACCTCATTGCTGATGATCACAGCAGGAATGAAAAACCCACACTGATTGTTTTGATGCTGTATTGCTCTGGTAACTGAGAGGCTATTGCCAACATTTTAAGTACTCTGCATTAAAGCCAACTGGGTAATAACTAAGTAGCTGTAATTAAAATGATTTCACATGACCTAAATAATCAGACTCGGTTCAGAACATCATTGTCTAAACTTCCACAATCCAACTGTATAAAAGTTTTCGCTACAAGGAAAGTCTGCTCAATTAACTCGTAGATATGGGGAAAATTAATTGCTTCTCTAAGTATTAGCCATTTTAAAAAAAGAGAACCTATTGAGTGCCAACCAATTAAGGGCATACCGACTGATCTATTTTATGACTCTGTAAACACAGAACCTGATGAAAGATGATAATTTTTGCTTTAGAGACATCTCAACCATCTCAACAGGCCTTTTCTTCAATACAATACCAACAACAATGAAATTGTGCCTTTGATCACAAATATTCACCAGTGTAACAATTGTACATTTGGCAAACTATACAATGTATTTCCATGCTGTTTAGTAGTAGTAGTATTTAGAAGTGTGCGCATGTCCGTGCATCTTGCATGTGGGTGTGTGCGTATGTGTGTATGTATGTATGTATGTATGTACATTATGTTATTGCTTCCACTCCTAAATTTAAATGATCTCCGTCAACTTTTCTCTCTTTGTGATACTCTTTACAGCAGATTGAATGTGACAAACACAATTACAAGCTGCTTGTGGTCAACTTTCCAGAGGTCCTCCATGTTCACAAGCGTCAAGCATTGTTTACATACATGGTGATCTCCTCTAAAAAAGACCCACTGCCGCCCATAGTGTTTTTTTTTTGTTTTTTTTAACTTTCCCATCTTAAAGAGTAAAAAAATGCTGTGAAATATTTACTATACCGTCTCCCATGAAATTGGGGTTGAGGGTGGCTTCTGGTGCGGCAGGGGTTACACAAACACACACATTCACAAAACCTGCAGCTGTAACAAAGTGCTGTACATAACATTCAACATTAAAGAAGACAAAAATAATACAACAGAACAGATAACATAAAATTGGTTGCAATGCCTCTTACACAATCATTCACTAAGTGCCGTAGCAGTCTTTTATCAGGTCTGCAAGAAAGATTCGTTCTAGGAACAATCAAGTGTACTGAACTGAAGTGCAAGCTTTCCAAAAACATCAATCATTTCTAATACCCCTTCCAGGTATCTCAGAGGGTTTTTTTTTGTCTGATGTCGAAGGCTATGACGCATGCACATTTTGATGTTCTAACCACTCTATGGGTCATTGTGCACCGATTGTCCGGTGTGTCTGTGTGCTCACAAGCTAATTTTTAGCTGTAGCTCCATTTTAGGGTGACGCCATATAAACACCAGCAGGTTAGCCTAAACAGTGCACGAGTAAACTTCATAAGGAGCAGAGTGCCTCAGAGGAGAATGAGAAAAACTGGAAAGTCTAACAAGTCTGTGTGATGCAAACAGCTTCTTTTCCCTCACGACAATGCCAAAGCAGGCCATGAGAATGTTTTTGTGTCAGTCAGTGTGGATCTGTCGGCGATTTATCTGTTCTTACTGAGTGATCCTGGAGCGGCTGTGGGAGTTTGGGATGCCTGAGCATCTGGGCCTTGTAAAATATAAGCAAAATGTCTCTATTCATCCAAGCTGAACGCAAGCTCGGGAACTTGTGCTTCTTCAAACAGATTGAGTAACAATATCAGAACAATATCCACAGGGGTGGGGTACAGTGCTGGCCAATCAGAGCAGTCATGTAATAATTTGGGCAGCAGAGCGGACTGGCGGTTAGCACATCTGACTCAAAGTTGCGAGGTTCGAAACTCAGTATGTGTGCGTTTCCAATTCTTGTGTGGATTTTCTCCAGGTATTCGGGCTACCTCCCACATTCCAAGCATGTAAAGCTACGTTTACACGGCGTTCCCAGTGGCCACCGCAGCCCCGATTCGCGATTTTGGGATGGGTTAAACTTATAGGCCATGATTGACGTGGATGCCTGGTGAGATGTTGCATTTGCCACAGCAACCACGATGCAAATCAGAGAGCTAGTCGGCCGTAGTAGAACTGAGTGTACATAACAAAACCTAAGTGTATGTAATTGGGTGTAACACTACCTGGAGGCGGTCCGTCGCTGGACCGGTAGCATTTGTATATACAGTATTGCCATCTTACGGTGTCTTCCACTCACCGCCTACAAACCTTCTTAACATGTGTAGTTTGTATGTGACTAATAGGCTCTTTTGCATGTTTGGTACAAGCGGTGGATTACATTAGAGTAGTGAATTAGCTGTTTTTAGAAAAGGAATATGATCAAACATTTATGAGCGGCAGTACACTTGTACCTCACCGTGCTGATGCCGACTCAGCAGTCAGGCCAGGCAGAAGCTTTTTCTAAACTGTGCCAGGGCTGCACAAGTGCTCCAAAGCTGCCCGGCATCCATGTTTCATCTGTTGGAAACCATGAAAGAATGTAAGAAACATGTAAGACCACATCAGAACGTGATGGGCTAGAAGGCAACTTACTGCTGGCATCTGTGGTAAACTGTTGGCCGAAACGCAGTATGCCTCTGAGCCTCCAGGACACAACAACCCTGCTCGCCCTAGGTCATAACAGATACTGAGGTTTACCGTGAGAAAACTTACCGATACTGAAACACACAGTAAAAAATGCTGCACCGCACTATGTTTTCGGCAAATGATGTTCCTGTTGCTGTTGGGAAGTGTGTAAATTCACTATTGATGCTAAAATGATGACAATTTCCGCATTTTGGTACTAATGTAAGTCACTTTAAACTTGCTACTGCTAAAACATTACAAAAATCTTAATGTTCTTCCCTGTTTGTGTCATCTTTCTCCACGGTGACTTATAAAATACTTGTCCATCAGTGACTATTGTTTTCACTGCAATAGAACGGGTAAAGTTACCACCCGCTTACACAAAGATGTTGTTTGGCCTCTGTGATGCATCTAGTTCTAGCGCGAAAAGTGGAAAATTTCTTGATTTACTGCAGAAGCCGAAAATAATAAGATCCTATTATATTGTTTTAACTGGAGTGTGTCAATGGACGTTTTAGATCTCGTGCTAATGGTTTTTATTCCCCGAACAGGAAAATTACTGCTTCTTGGTACACAAACCCAATTACTTTGCCCTCTGCACACAATTATGTCACAACTCTTTACACATAGGATTGTTTAACAGTGAAAGGCTTTTTATAGCAGAAACAGTTTCTCCGGCCGTACCTTGACAACTACAGTACTTGTATATGGACAGCTTTATATAAGTGGACTGTACAAAACATTTTGTGATGAACATACTGCAAACGGAAATAAACCCTAACTGGATAGTGGCTGCAAATACACAAACTGCGTGTTCTTGTGAATTTTTAGCCCCCACGGATCATGTTGCAATGGGACATTTAATGAAAGGCTGACTTCAAAGTCGAGCTTTCTTGTAAACAGTCTTCTTCATGCTAAGATCATAACCGCAGCTTGAGTGGAACTCATGAAAAACGCTGAGTGAATACAGCAGTGGGGGGGGGGGGGGAAAGAGGGGGATGGGGACATTTTGGTTGGCTGAAGAGTCTGGGACGATCATATTTCTTTCGCAGAGGTGGGGAGGGGAAGCCTTAAGGGGTTATGTAACATTGTTAAGAGCCAGAAAGGGTGTAAACAAAACCACTGTGAAGTGGGACAGGCCTCGCCGTCGCATGGCAACGCATATTTTGGGCAGGGAAAGCAGACAAACACGGCCTGGGCTTCCAATGGGAAGCCATGGGGCTGGCCTTGTGAGCGTGGAACAGGCTAATAACTTCCCAAAAGTATGCTAAGAGACAGGGAAGCAAGCAAAACAAAAGCATGTAAGGAGGGGGAATCAAGACAACACTGCTGGGTCTGTTTGAACCTGGCGTGTCCTGCCTGGCTGGAGTCTAGACTACCACCGCTTGCAAACAAACAACAAAAACATGTGTGGCTTACACTCCAGAGAAAATAGTGTATTTAACTATTATTGATGAAGTAATGTAATAACAAGTAAATTTTTTTTTCATACACTACTGGGTGCAATATAATGCATCATTCATAATTATACTGCCCCTTTATACAATTGTACATTAGATAAATATGCAACAGAGTCACTGATGGTGCAGTGGTCCACTCGTCTGACTTGTGTGGGGACCATGTGTGATGGTTCCCACTCAGTGACAGTGACAGTGACAGTGTGGATGTGGGTGTGAATAGTTATTTGTCTCTATATGTGCCCTGTGACTGACTGGACACCACGTTAGGGTGGAGTCTGCATTGCGACCCTGTTCAGGGTAAGCGGTGATGAAAACGGATGGATGCACAAACATGCAACACCTGCATCATGTTTCTTGCTTACATTTAAATGTAGTTAATTCGTCACATTTGCTGCTCTTGCATTTGGTTTTCACTGGTTTGACTGTTCCTCTATTAATATGGTATCTATCTATCCATCTATCGATCTATCTGTCTGTCTGTTCTATTTTTTTTAGCTGCGCTTTCGTGTAAGTGGAGTGGAGTAGCTTGCTAATAGCCTCGGGCTAAGTTAGCTCCGTCTGTTAGCCACCTAGCTTCGCGTGTGCCTGCTTAAATAGAGCACGGAAACGTTTCCAGTAACAACAAAAATCACATTGACACAACGTGGAGGGTAAAAAAAATAAAAGCGTTGTCGATGACTATTGATTGGGTCGTTAAAAAAATATATATCGAGGCGCTCAGCTCACCGACGAGAACCAGGAAGTGGCGTCGTGTGCCACGCAGTTGCCATAGAAACCGTTTCTGGCCGCCACAACACACGAGGCGGCGGCAACAGCGGTGTTGCCATGGAGTCAGTACACTACACACACACACACACACACACACACACACACACACACACACACACACGCACACACACGCACACACACACACAGAACAGCACATGTTTCTACCGATTTAACCTAATAAAACGAACTATTTGGAATTTTTTTTGTGTAAACAGTTAGTGTGGTTGTTGGTCATATTGTACTCTTTTTTTTTCTCTAGTCGGAACCACCATCACGAGGTGATTCACGAGGAGTCACTCCGGTACCCGCGGCTCAGACGGGGCTCAATCACGTCCTCCGTTGTTCTCTGACGTTGTTCGACCGGTGACTACTCTCTCTCTCTCTCTCTCTGTCTCTCTGTCTCTCTCTCTCTCTCTCTCTCTCTCTCTCTCTTTCGCACACGCACACACACACACACACATACACACACATACACACACACACACACACACACACACACACACACACAGCGCGCGCCTGAAAACCCACTATGTTTGACATCACTTGTACCTTTTTGATTCCCATTCATGAATTGCCACCTCCAATTCCCCAGATGGAGCCCCAACCCACACTTCCCACCCAACCACCCCTTATGCATTCCCACTGGCGTCCGCATGTAGGCCACCATCATGAATCACTTTTGCGTTTTTCACTGTGACAGGATCTGATTTCCGTCATTGCTGCCCACCGCACAAGTCTTAATTAGCATACACTGTTGTTTATCCATGTGTATGTGTTTGAGTGTGTGTGCTGCAGGACTAGACACATGAGATTAAAAATAATTATCAGATTTCTTTTCCACCAAAATATCTTTATTCCACTTTTACGAATCACTTGCCTATCAAAAAAGGAAATGGCAATCACATTACTCCTATTTTTTTTTTGCTCCATTTCTCCAGATACCGAGCAAGCTTTAAAGCAGTTTTTTTTTCTCAGCATGAACTTGCATCGACTTCCACAGAAATAATGGGAATATTTTTTCTTTACAGATAATGTGAAAGTAATGCTCAATTCAACTTTATAAAAAGAGCACACCCCCCCCACACACACACATCTCAAAGTCTACATAAATAACAATTGAAAAAAAATAATACAACCAGAAACAATAATACAAAACAATACAATACATCTTTATTTATTTAGCACTATTCACATAAAACAAACAGCATACCAAAACAAAGACATAGTCTCATGCTGTATTGGAAGTCAAGTAATAATAATGGACACTGAGGGGGTCTGTGTAATGTGCACAGGGAGGTCGTTTCTTCATTTGGGACCAGCAATAGAAAAAGCTCTATCCCATTCCCCTCTCAGCTTTCGCTTAGAATTTGGTACCTGGCTGAGCAGCTGGTCAGATGAGCTGAGTTACCGGGCAGGAGCATGGGGATGGAGCATCTCAGGTGGGGTGAGACCATTAAGAAATTCGAAAACAAACAGAAAGACCTTAAAAATCAACTGTAAAATGCATAAGCAGCGCACTGGAGGGAGGCCACAATAGCAATATGTGCTTCCTCTTACGTGTTCCAGTTAAGAGGCGAGCAGCAGCATGTTAAAACAACTAGAGATGTGAGCAGACGTCTTCCTTGGCCTGTCGAAATTTGTTGCTAGATAAATTCTACATGCTTGAAGATAACCGCTGAAAACATGTGCCACGACAGAGAGCCGTGTAGTACTGAATTGTGGAGATATTGTGTTGAACTGTTTATCACCATTTCAATTTTCCTGATATCTTGGGCGTGCTTTAAACGACAACATGACATTGATATAAAAACTCAAGCGCTTTTGTTCACATTAACAATTATCTATGCAATTGTGATGTGCAGTTAGCTCGCTAGCTATGCTTATGCCTTGAAATTCAATACATCTTCCGATTGGATAGCTTGCTGATTTGGTTGCTTTAAAGCACCTTGTAGTGTGCCCATGTCACAGAGAGAAGGCAGAAAAGCAAGGCAGGGGAGAAAAAGACAGCCAGTGTGCGGACCGGGGTTTCGAGCTGGCAAGACAGCTTTAGAGTGCCGCCTTGAGCATGCACACTTTATGTCGAGAAGGCGGGAAAGCAAGGTGAAAACAATGTTTAAGTCCGACGTGACAGCCAACATGAGGACTGGTAATTTACGCTGGCGTGACTGCGTTAGAGCAACTCATTGTTATGGCCTGGAAAAGTCCAGCACTTGTCAATGGATATATTGTATTTTCATGGCTCAAACATGTAGTTATGGGTAGGCATAAGAAAGATGCTGGACAAAGTAGCATATTTTTCCAAGTCATAGATGTAGTATGTGATTGACAATTGAGCTGAGTGTGGGTTCAGCACATTCAGCAGGCACGCCCTCACCGTCTGAGAGCAGAGAGAATGACTTGATTTTCTCGAATTTTGAAGCCTCATTTCATAAACTTCCTGATTTTATTTTTTATGCATTCAAATTTCACAGGGTTGTAACCAATACTTTGCTCTGTAGTGAGTCAACCTTAGAAGAAATTTGTACATCCATTTTTAAGCTGCTAGTCCCTTTTGGGAAAAATAGTCATGAGAGCGGTAGGAAAAGTCACAAATTTTGCAACACTGACTGCACTTTTGTGAACAAGCTCCTCTGCTCGCAACCATGTTATGAGTGCAAGCATCACATTGAATAACAGAAGCATCTAAAAAAAAATCCACAAAAAATGTTCGAAGCAAAAAACTTGAATTAATCAAAAAAAGAAATTCTGTATGTGCCGTATACCCTGTAGTGCTTGTTAGCTCTGTGTTTAATCCATTTCCAATCCTTAACAAGGGAAGAACCTGATTCATGAAAAACATTTTTTTTTCACTTAGTGGATTTCATTGGCTTGGAGCCATCCAGGTCAACGGAATACGTCAATGAAAAGGATATCCCTTTGTGACGGTTGCAAGCTCTCAGGATTCCCGTGGGTGTGTCCTGAGAATGACTACAATAGGGATTTAAGTGGCATACAAAAATTGTCAAGAGAGCATTTTGCAAATTCACACACGTCCTTCATCAAAAGCTAAAAAAAAAAAAAAAAAGGAAAATTGGCTTTCATCCTTCATTAGGGGTCCTACAAGGGCCAGACCGTGATGTTTATCGTTATCATAATTATGATCGTTTGTGGGTCAGGCCATATATGGTCCACAGGCCATAGGTTGACCAAGTCTGGTGTCTTTTAAATTATTGTGAAAAAGACTTTATTCGTTTTGGGGGGGAAAAAATACAAAATGTGGGTCATTCATTTGACCCAACTGGTGGTCGGTTCCTTTTCAACCCATAATTGGGTTATTTTCCACCCAAATGTTTTCATAATGTATTTTGTAACACAGTGACAAAGTGGTTAGGACATCCACAGCACATTTTTGAAGTTCTCGCTTCAAATCTCAGCTCGGGGCTTCCTGTATTGAATTTGCATTTTTTCCACGTGCCTGTGTGCTCACACAAGGCCCGTATGAAGACAAGTAGTATAGAAAATGATAAACTAGTGAACATGGGCAAATGACTTAAAAATCACTCTAAGTTTATGACATGTTTTTCATAGCTGTCATTTTGACACGAAGTGAAATAATACCCTTTTTTCAACCTTTATTTAACCAGAAAAAAGTTTATAGCAGTTTATACCATGGTCTCATTTAAAATGGTGGCCTGGCCAAGCCATAAGCAGCATAGCTAGTATTAACAATGACAATAAGTAGGGAAAAAGTAACATTTTAAATGATATACTGTATTTAAAAACATATATTTATATTTACTCATTTTGAGTATATATTTGTAGCATTCATCCTTTGCTTTTTGTTTGTGAAATTTGAATTGTGACGTAATTGAAATGACAAATGACTGATTGAAAGCTAATCGAATGCTTCGACTACAACTAATACTCGTATATTAATGAATGTATTTTTACATTATTACTGTATTTTTACATTTTCCCTGTATTTAAAAATAGGTTTAAGTAAATAAAACATTAAATATATTTGTGCTTTATGCCCCTCCCATTCTTTTTTAAAAATAGTCATCCATAAACACAAATATCACTATTCAAATATTGTTAGAGCAAAATGGTAAACTCCGATAGTGGTCTGCCCCAGTATTTCTTAGTGTATGATAGTACCACTAGGGTTACTCGCGGTCCCTCTGAGACTGGGAGGTGAAAGAATTGAATAGAATAATAATTTAAGTACTTTTCTTCACTTTTTTATTAATTATTATTAGTCATGATGGTGGCACTTTGAGAGTGAAGCGTTCCTTTCAGTGCAAATGCACTGACCCAAATTTTTCCCTTTAAAAATAGTCAAATTTTAAACAGAAATGTCACTTTTCAAGTATTGTAAGAATAAAACTCAACTAGTGATCAATATAACCTCAGCTGTGTACCGTGGTGTATGTATTATGTTGTATTATGTTGCTGACCTAGTTTTTGTCTCCAAATATATGACTCTTTCCATACTTATAACACTTAAAATCCACAAGTTTCCTCCCCGAAATAGTCAGACGGTGAGAAACACCCCCCTTACGTTGGAAATTATTCAAAAAAAGAGAATAGCGTCTATGATTACCCGTCAGCGAGGTAAGCTTTGGCTTATTCCAGTGCGAGAGGGAATCCCTCGACGTCACCAAGGATACCAAACACAACAGCGGTGCACAAATATGGGCATGTACGTCAGCGGAACCCCGAGGCGGGACTTAAATGCCTCGGTTGTAGGCTACTCAAGGAGGATTCATTCATAAGACAAAATCTGCTTGTTTGTACCGTAATTCCGTCGTGCATTCGCCGGGTCGTGCCGCCAATCGGAGTTTATGGATCTATCAAGCTTCGGATCGAAGAAGTAGTTTGAACCCGGGAAGTGGAAGGACAACACATCTACGGGGCAATTTCCCCCCGCTTTCTGGTTGCGGGGAAGTGGATTAAAGCTTCTTCATGCAACTTTTTTGGGAAGACACCAGGAGCGCCTCAACGGAAAACAGCAATAAGACGAGTAACGGTGAGTTTGCCGGTTTGTTGGCACACTATAACCACTCATATGGGAGCTTTTTGTTGTTGTTTGGTTTGTTTGTAATTGTGTGCGTTTATTCTAATGACAAACAATATTGATACCCCCAAATATGTTTTTTCTATACACAAAAACGAAATATTTTGCAGGTGCCAAGCTCTCTCTCAGCCCTCGCGGGGAGATGTACCAAGGGTTCCCCGGCGACCCCGACAGCGGATCCCGTAGTAGCTCGTCCCCGTCCATAGAGTCCCAGTACCTTTCCTCCGTGGACTCATTCGGCAGCCCGCCGACCACCAGTGCTCCACAAGTAAATCGAAACGAACACACTAAAAAGTGCCTAAATGTTCTCTTAATGCATATGTTCATTGAGCTACCCGGAAATAGCGAGGAGCTCGCTCGCTACCTACCGACAATTTTTATCCAAACGTAAAAAAAAAAAAATATTCGTTTTCGGCCTTAGTCGTGTTATGTAAACATATCTCTGAGTGTGTACACGGTGCAAAAAAAAAAGCTGTACGGCTCCAGGCTCGGAAAACGTGCTCGCTTCTTGTTGCCGGTGACACATACACAGTTGCTAGCTTCCTCCGTCACAGGCGAAGCCCCTCCCCTCACGAAGATCCTCCACTCAGCTCGTTTGCGCGCGCTCTCTCTCTCTCTCTCTCTCTCTCTCTCTCTCTCTCTCTCTCTCTCTCTCTCTCTCGCTCTCTCGCTCTCTCGCTCTCTCGCTCTCTCTCTCGCTCTCTGTCTCTTTTCGAGGCAGTGACGTAAATGGACGTTCTATTTTGGAATGCTACGTCGCGTTGTCAAGGGGAACACCAGCCGGGGGTGTGACGGGAGGAGGAAAGAGGAGGAGGGACTTTGGGGTTCTCTCTGTTAAAGCGGCAGGCCGTCTGGTCGACGTTGCATAAAAAAGTAATTAATTTAAAAAATGATATAGGTTCGTCAGATTTGTAGTATTATATATGCAGTACTACATGTCTGTATTCAAAAATCACTTTGCACGCCTTATTATTAACAGTATACATATTAAACTTTAGTGACACTGTCCATCCATCCATCCATTTTCTGGTGCGGTTTATCCTCATAAGGGTCGTGGGGCGTGCTGGATCCTATCCCAACTCATTTCGGGCATTCAAATTCAAATTCAGTGCTACTTTTTAAATGAACCTAACATGCATGTATTTGAAATGTCGGTGAAAGCCAGAGTTCCCGGAGAACACAAACACAAGAGAAGGGAGAACATGCAAACTGAGAATCGAAGCATGAACCTTAGAACTGTAGGAAGGTAGGGTAACCACTGTGCTTTTTATAGTTACCAGCCCTCATTTCCAAATCTGATGAATAATAGATTAAAGGACATTAGGGTTTCAGCCCCAAAATAACAGAACATCAGGAGAAAAAATAAAAATAAAAAACAACTAGGTGGCAACTGTTTAGCATGGCAGCCTCACAGTGCAGAGGTGCAGGGTTCAATTCCAGGCCTCGGCCTTCCTGTATGGAGTTTGCATGTTCTCCCCGTGCCTGCACGGGTTTTCTCCGGGTACTCTGGTTTCCTCCCACATTACAAAAACATGCATGGCTGATTAATGGAGCACTCTAAATTTGTCTTAAGTGTGATTATGAGGGCGAATGATTGTTTGTCTATGTGTGCCTTGCGATTGGCTGGCAACCGGTTCAGGGTGTACGCTGCCTACTGCTCGAAGACAACTGGGATAGGCTCCAGCACACCCGTGACCCTTGTGTGGACAAGTGGATTAGAAAATGGATGGATGGATAAAAAAGCAACCAAGTTATTTTATTGATATTTTGTCAATTTATGCCAAATGTCCATCCATCCATTTAATCTACCGCTTATGCATGGTCAGGGTGGCTGGAGCCTCTCCCAGCTGACAACACCCTGAACTGGTCGCCGGTCAATTACAGGGTATAACATTTATTCACCCTCACATTCACATGGTCAATGAGTGAGAACTGAATCCACGCCACCTGTACAGAAATTAGGCCAGTGAATCACCACACCATCAGTACCCCTGTGCCTACTATATTAAAATTATTTACAGTACTTGGGAATAGTTTATTAAACCCTAGCTGTTAAATTGACTCAGGTTACTGGGATCATTAATTCTGCCTCTGAGTTTCCAAGTTTTCTCTAAGATTCCATAGTTTCCCGAATGCGTGTAAGACTTCCTGTCCATGTCTCCCTTGCCCCAGGAGTGTGTGTCAGCCGCAGCTGGCTTGAGCATTGTGGGTAGCGGGCCAGGATCCAGCGGCGGAGGGGAAATGCCCGGTTCGTTCGTGCCAACCGTCACTGCCATCACCACCAGTCAGGACCTGCAGTGGATGGTCCAGTCCACCCTCATCTCCTCCCAGGCCTCGGGGCAGAGCGGCACCACCGGCACCTCCTCCATGACCCGGCCAGTGCCACTGATTGATCCCTATGACATGCCAGGCACTAGCTACTCCTCCGGGTCCGCATTCTCTCCTCCGAGTTCGGACACCCCTGGCCCAGCACCGGGCCCCATCCGCCAGTCCAGAGCCCGTAGCCGCCGCACTCGAGAAGAGTCTGTGAGTGAAGACGGAGATGTTGGTGTGTTAGTAAGTGTGTGTGCATGGACGGTGTGTTTGTTGGCATTCACATTTTACACATTTCTCTATCACATGAATTTTGCTTACCGGTACACTTGTTGGGTTCGACCATGTGCACATGTTCTTTGGGGAACAAACCATCCATTCAACTCAACATTTTCTGTAGTTGAAATTAGAATGGAAGACGAGCCTACAAAATATTTTTAATTGACTAAATGTAATGCTTATTTGTGTGCAAATTAGAATATTAAGTAATGACAATACTTTTGCAAAAGTAATTTTCAGTGAAGTGGATTCAATTCTGACTATTAACTTTTCCTAGTCAGAGGTCCCCACTGCAAGGCACTCACATGATTTGAATTGTTTCCACAACCACCAATTTTTATCCAGGTTAAGTGACCTGGATATTCATTTTTCTTGCCTAAGGTGAATGTTACCATTTGCCCTGGCCGGGTTTTGTACCTTAGTCCTTGTGTCCAAAGTCAGCTGTGTTACCCGCCAAGCCCTCCAGCCACCGAACGCCGTTTGAACCATGTTACAAAAAATGGGTCTGCTGGTTAGCTGTGTTTTTAACTGAATCAACAAATACGATCGAAAAGCAAGAGAAACATATTAAAGCGGTATCTCACCGAGGGGCGAATGCTTGTGAATGTTGACGAATGTAGAGAATGTTGGGTTTTCATCAGGGCTCATTAAAGTTTGCAAAAGGTTGCAAAGACGTTCGCAAACAGTTTCTCTTGATGCCAAGAAATTTCGAACATCTTCAAAATGTTCTTAAACTGAGCATCCTTCGCTGTCACAGCATTTTGCGACCTTAGTGTTTCACACAGTTAACAAGACTGTCAACCATCCAAAAATAAATTTCTTCAAATTCACAACACTGCGTGACCAGCAGAAAATCACACGAACTACTCCTGTGGGGGCGATCAATTATAGCAATCACCAGTGAGTCCAGGTCTTGGGTTGCCCATCCTGCCAGCCAATCACTGAGCCCTACTTCCTTTTAAATTAGAATAGGGGTGTGGTTAAGACTAAAAGTAGACCTTTGTAAGTGGAAATAAAATGGTTTACAGTGTAGAGAAAGGGTGGGTGGCATTTCATCTGCCATTTTCTATACCATTTATCCAGTATTGGGTCACAGCTGACTTAGGCGAAAGGCAGACTATATCCTAGAGTGGGCGCCAGAGAAAGACACATTCACACCATCACTGAGTGGGAACTGAATCCTGAACACTGCACAGACCAAAGTAGGGCAATAATACCACTGTGCCATCAGTAATCCTCAGAGGAACTGCTGTAACGGAAACATTTCACCCACCAATGTTCTTTTTTATATATACATTAGGAAAAAGAATCCCCACCCCTGCTCTGGAGGCGCTTGTAGAGAAAGTAACATGAGACAAAAAGCTTGATGGAAAGATATCATATATCACTGGAGACAATTTGGTATGACTCCTTCCGAGTCAAAGCAACGCACTTAAGCACTTCTTCTTTTCACCCTAGCTGACTCCCGAAGAGGAGGAGAAGCGACGTGTCCGTCGAGAGAGGAACAAGCTGGCCGCCGCCAAGTGCAGAAACCGCCGACGGGAACTCACGGACAGACTGCAATCGGTAAGCTTGGCTTATGCTCTAACGTAATGAATGCATAAAACTCATATATCTTCACAATCTAATGAGATCCAGTACAAAATTTGTTTCAAAAAAAGAATATTTTCATTACCACACGCTGTTGTATGGGGGTGTGTTACATTTTATACACAGCATTCTTCTTCTTTCTTTTTAGCATAATGGAGAATTAATTCCTCAATATCCATCTGACCATCTGTTCCTGTCTGCTCTCTGTCCATAGTTTGTCATTTAAACGTGTATAAAAACACCTAAAGGGCATTTTTTGACTGGTCTATGGGTCAAGAATTTTACATAGCAGCAAGGGACTGGGCCAGTGGTTCTTAACCTTGTTCGAGGTACCGAACCCAACCAGTTCATATGCACATTCACCGAACCCTTCATTAGTGAAAAATAAAAATATGATTCAAGAAGTGCTCCTTCAGTTTTGAGTTGCTCAACTTGGCGCTGACTCCCATCACTTTCCGTGATGCATGTGAATCCATGTTGTAAATATTCGTCCGACCTTTTTTTTTTTTTTGCTCGCCATAGTTAGCATGTATTAAAAGAATTCTAAAAAAAAAAAAAAATTCACACGACGTACTATCACGACAGTCACTCATTGACGACTGAGCGAACTAAATTTCCTGCAGCACTGATTGGACAAGCGATGCAATGTGATCATCTGCCGCCGGCGTGTCATAACTAACTGACACGTTGAGTTGGGTGTGGCTTGACCTCCAAGGCAAAGGCTCAGTCGAAACCCAAAGGCTCGTTCATGGGATCATGGTCAGACACTCATCCATTCACATTCAGATATCTTAATTCCCTTGCAGACCGTTGGAACTCTAACACTGATTCATGTAACACAACTACAGGCTTGCGACTCCCCAATATACTCTATTTCATTGTTACAGGAGGGCGTGCGTTGAGTTTACTAATGGCCGATGTGAAGATTGAGGCTGTTAGGATAGCGTGAGCAGATGTCTTTTCAGATAGGCGTTCGTAGAACTTTTGTTTTATTTATTTGCATATTTTGCAATTGATCGTGCGACCAGGCTCAGTTTTAATGAAATGTTTACTTGAGGCATCACTGCTAGATTGCCTGTTTCCAGTGATGCGTCTGTGTTGAGCCAAAACAAGTGACTGGCAATTAATCTACTTCAAGCTATAGTTGTCACTAGTTGACTTGAACCAATGAATCGAACGGCCACCTCATTTTAACCGTTAGTACGTCATAAAGTATCAATCCTAAAGCCAGGGTAAAATACTAATGACGGTGCTTAATACACACTATCTTTAGTAGACCCCTCATCTTCCATGACCTTTCTCACCCTTTGTTCCTCCCTCCGCCCACACAGGAGACGGACATTCTGGAGGAGGAGAAGGCTGAGCTGGAGGCGGAGATTTCTGAGCTGCAGAAAGAGAAGGAGCGCCTGGAATTTGTCCTGGTGGCCCACCAGCCCAACTGCAAGATCCTATACCAGGAACAGCCTCAGCCAAGCTCGGCACAGCTCCCCATGCAGAACTTACAAGCTCCCCCCACCATTGCGGGCTTGGCTGTGAAGGATGACTCTTTCTATTTGGCTCCTGCCTACTCAGGCCACGCAGCCTCCACACAGTCGCAGATTCCGCCTCAACCGCAGCAGCAGCAACATGTCCAGCAGCCTCAGCCAGGAATGATACAGGAGGTAGAGTTTTCTCGTTCTTTCTATGGCCCGAATGAGGCGGCGGCACCTGGCGGGCCGTGCCTCATGGCCGGCGACGGTGGTGGTGGTGGTGGTGGTGGTAACCATGACGATGCGGGCATTGCCAGCCACAGCACTTCATACACATCTTCATTTGTGTTCACCTACCCAGAGGGAGCCTGCGGGGTCAGTGCCAACCATCGGAACAGCAGTAGCGAGCAGTCATCCGATTCCTTGAACTCGCCTTCCCTGCTGGCGCTCTGACTGCCCGACAAAACTCGCGCATACCTTAATGCTCGCTGAATAGTGGCTGACTGCCGCCCATTTAAGTTAAAGAACAAAATTAACGTGCATTCCAAGAGAGAGACGGATTCAAATTGCAAACGTCAATCAGTCAGCGTGCATGTAAAATACAGCTTAAACTAAACTCGGTCTCCAGTGAGCGGCCACAACTGCAACCGGTGCCCCCCACCTTGTTCCCTCTGAGGGTCTATCATCCTCTCCTCCATCCTTGCCCTTCCACCCTCCTCTTTTGCCCAGTGCCCAGAGGTGAGACACTTACCGCTCACCCTTCATCCGCCCAACCCTCCCTCAGCTTCCTCATGCTTGGAAGTCGGCGATCACCGCGTTGTTACAATTCCTCTGCCGTGCCAGCATCTGTTTCTCCTCTTCTGTCTCTTGTGTTTCTCCCCCTCTCTCTGCCTCAAGTCCTCCACGCCCAAGAGCCCGAAGACCCCCTCCAGTCCCTGGGACCTTGAGTGAATCGCCCGGCCCCCAACCTAATACTTACACACACCTTAACTGCTCCATGTCGACTTGGATCGAGATTCTGCAGCGTGTTCCAAACAAGCGCACACTTCACTGGGAGCTCCAGTTCGACATTTGGATGCACAGTTGATGCAAAAAAAAAAAGCAAGGCGGAGGTCTTTGGTTGAGCCACAAGTCGACAAGATGAACACAAGGCATGTTGAGTGGCTCTGGGGGGGATGCTTTTGTTGACGTGAGCCAAATGCAAAACAAGCAAAAAAAAAAAAAAAAAAAATTGTAAGTTAAAGCTCTGCCCGTGTAGATTCTCAGTCATCATGGTAATCCGGAAGGGGTGAATCGAGGCAACCGGATTTGTCTTGTTTGTTGAAGGTATTCCAATCTTTAATCCAAAAGGCTTCTTCGGTTCTCAATTTGTCAGATGATATGTGATATCTCGAACCTTCACCGAAAAATTCAGAACTGCAGAAGACTTTGGATTGAAGGCGAAATGCCATCAACAAACGCAAAGAGTGCGGCTACCTCGATTCAACCTTTTTAAAAGATGTCACTCTTGCCAACTGTGTGGAGGGTTTCTCTCTCAGTCAGAAGCTTCACCACACCACCATGGCTTTTGAGTCTCCGGATGATGCTTTTTTTCTTGCCTGTTTGCCTTTAACGGGAAATGCAGACAACCTCTCAACATGGGGCGTGCATACGACTGCACCTGGCCTGTTTATTTCTTTCTTGAGTGAGGTTGTCACGGAGGCTGACCCGGAAACAAAAAGAGGAGATTATCCGGGCCGATGTTAGGGCGCCAGCGTCCTCTCCTGCCTGTGAATTTGTGCCATTTGTTTTTTTGCTCATACGTTCCAGTGACACTTGTTGCATATTTTGTCTTTTTTATGTATTTGATTGTTCTGCTTTTACTTGTACGCCACACTGCAGCCCACCTCCAACTCTGTTGTTGTTGCATTGTTAAGTATATTTTTTTCCCTTGATTTGTTTGTTTTTATGTGGCAACTTTGGAGGTATGCTGTGCACTTAAAGGTTTTGTGTGTTGAAAGTAAAAAAAAAAAATCTTGTTCCATGTCTCATGTAAAAAGATTTATATATATATATATAACAGCATATATATTATATAATGTCTGTATGTATAAATAAGTGTTATGCGCTATGATTGTCAAGTATGAATGTGTTGCAGCTCTAGAGGGGATATTTTTGTCAATGAAGAAATTTGAAAGATGTTCTTGAGATTTACTTTTAAAATGAATATTTTTGTAAGAGAATGAAAAAAATTATAGAAATATATACTGTATGATAGGTTTTAAAAAAATGGCCCTGTCCTTTAACATAAAGCATGATGTCATTGCCTCTCGCCATGTGTATTTATGTTTTACAAAACAGTATCAAGCTCTATCCAAGACAGTCAATGTATGTATGTAACTATGACAATGTTACAAGGTTGTGATGACACCATTTGTTTTGTCTGATTTTTCTCTGTGAGGTCTGACCCAAAGCTACTGACACCACTTTATCTTCAAAAATTGAAATTAAAAAAAGTACAGTATACTGAAGTCACTGTTACATCTACACAAAACATGTTATCTATTTGTATTTCTGCCCTTATAATAAACAAATAATATTCTTCAAGAATGTGTATTTGAAAGACAAACATATCATTTTACATAAAAGGCTTTATTTTTTTGAATAAAGAAATAAAAATGCAACATCCAAATAATGACAAATTGATGGTATAGTTTTCTGTCTGAGTGGCTCCTGGTGCTCAGGAAATGGGTGGACCTCACTTTTTGAACAGCTGATTAAGAAATATTTTGGGACACCTTTTTGATTTATTTTCTCTCCAAAATGCAAATGTGATGAGAATATGTTTTAGTGTGTCAGAATACGCATAAAACATGTTCACTAGTTCTCATGTACATAGTTTTTTCTTCATTGTGGTGCTACTTTGCAATCCTGATAAAAGAAAAAGGCAGTTATATGGTGTACACAACAGTTTACATTGGCTCTAGACTCCCTTGATGGATAGAGTAGTGAATTCCATGCAGCTGAATCTGTGGAAGCATATCAATCACCTTTTCATTGCATCACGAGAATAATCAATGATGATTAAGAATATTCAATGCATCATTGAATGTGTGAATGACACCTCAGAGGCCCTTGCACTGAACGCACATCCATTCATTTCTTTCCTTTGTGGGTTCCTTTTACTTTCTTTCAAAATGACACAATCAACCTGCTTGTACTGTACAACAGCCATCAACAAGAGTTGCTCCTATTTTTCTATGCTGAGGTGAATGTTGCAATGTATTTGTATTATTCTGCACAAGTCGCATATCCACACATAGTTGTACTTTTTGGGTGTGAAATGCAATACTTATGATGCTCTTGGATGAATATAATGTAGCAAATATTAGTCAGGGATGATAAACTGACTGCTACTGTATGTCCAGTGTGATACTGTATTGCAAGAAAAACTTCAAATATTCCCACAGACTTACTACAACATTTATTTTCTATGGAGAAAAGTTACGAATTATTGTTTTTCCGTCTTTTATTTTAAATTCTTTTTGGGTGCACATTCATTTGTATCAATGTTTCATCTTTTGCCCCATATTTGACATTGTATCTTTTCATTATTTTTTGCTGCAAACTTTATCATTGTCACATAATGACAAACCGTACACATTGAGGTTACAACAGTGAAAGAGCCAAAGATATCTTGTTGGATATGTGACAATAACTTTACTTATATTTACAGTTAAGTTTGACATCAGGGTGCTACGACATTATGATTCTCTGCACAAATAATGTCAGACAGTTTTCAGTTTTGAGACACGCACACACACACACACACACACACACACACACACACACACACACACACACACACACACGTGTATGTGTGTGTTTATATATATATATGACTATTCTCTTTCATCCAGGTCACTTCATTCTCAGTGCATTGAGTCCATCGCACCTAAACTGTTCTGGTTGTCTCAGACACACATATATATGTGTGTGTGTGTGTGTGTGTGTGTGTGTGTGTGTGTGTGTGTGTGTATTTGTAAAAGGGTAATGATAATGGAGCGTGACACTTGTTATGTGTGCTCGTTACGATACAGAAGACGTTTTGTATTCCTTGATGCAGTGGCGGTTGTGTCAAGTGACAAAAGTAGTCAGACAAGATAACCCTGAAGGGCTTAGGACCAGATGCTATCAGTCCCTGGAATGTCAGCTGAACATGTTCAGCCTTTCAATGACACTCATTGACATGAGACACAAGACCCTTTTTGGTTATACTGAAACTCTGTCGTGTAATTTGATTAAACCTAAAAGGTATTTATTTATTTATTTATTTACAATGTATGCACCGAATTGAGCCACCGCTGCCCCACTGCATGTTGCCATGTGCTTGTGTGTCTGCAAAACATTTTCTCGTGTTGATTTGGGGAAAATTGTAACAAACTGGAAGCCTATGTGAATTTGGCAATTGTCAGCTAAATTTTCAATCACATTAACAATAATAATAATAAAAATATATATATCTTGATTTTTTTTGTGTGCTTTTTTGTGTTGATTATTTGTGTATGGGGCAGCATGGTGATCGATTGATTTCAGTTTTGGACGGATGGGTGATTTTTGTCTACAGATGCACTGTGATTGGCTGACCAGCACACTTCCTTGTGCAATGTGTACCACCTCTTACCCAAATTCAGCTGGGATAAACTCAAGATGGTGCGCTAGCGACCTCGAGTGCTCGTCGCCGAAACTTCAATCGGCACTGGAAGTGACGGAAAGGTGAGGAAATGATGTCAGTGGAACAGTGACGTCACCGCACATTTTAGTAAACATGGCGTCCGTGACAACAGGTGAGAGAGACCGAAAAGGCCCGACTTCAAAAGCTTAAGATTTAACACCGCATCTTTCCTTTTTGTTTCCACACTGGAGCCTGTCATGGTTTTACCGCAATGCCAACATGTTAGACCGTTTCCGTCCCATTAATGTCGCCGGTGATCGTAAGCGGTATTTTGTTCGCGACAATAGTCCCTCCTTAGCTAATTGCTATCGCGATGCTAAATGGTTGCTTCTTTACATTGGCGCTTGAATGAATGACGTCCGTTTGCTGGTTAAATGTCGGGATGAGGCAACCGCGTGTTGAATTGCAGAGACAATACGCGTGAGTTAAATGTTGGTATTTTGCAATGGTGTCGTGCTAACCTTCAAAAATCACATCAGCTTCGATTGAAGGGTCATGTGAAATGAAGTCTGTCATTGCATTTAACGCCTCATCCATGTCCGTGTTGATGACTCCAAACGAGTACATGTTGTGTAAAGTGTCGGGATGGGCCATTGTTGTGGCAGCTGCCGCCATCACTTTGCGCCAGCCATGAGCTTGAGTAGTTATAAATAACCTCCAGCTGCTTGTGGTCAGCATGTGTTATACTTAACTTGTGTCCTCTGTCCCACCGTGGCACTTCTGTGCAACGTTTGTTCAAGTGAAAGTCGTGATGATGAGGCCAGTACTGACCGTGTCGATCAAAACTGAACATGAGTATCGTTGTGAAGGCAGATTGTCAAGATGTACTTTTATGGAGGACAGTGTCAATGTACTGTATGTAGTCATACAAAAACAAAACTATAATGCATCATGTTCCCGGTTATGTCTTTGCCTTGTGGGTCACCACAGTGCTCATATCTACTTTCCCCATTGAAATGAATGGAAATGGCATTCATCCCGTTTTTTAAAAAATTGATTTTAAGGTTTGTTTTCTTAACAAGTAAACATAGCACACAATGATATTATACTTTATTTTTCATTTTTTCCATTTCTCCATTGCGAGACTAATAAAGGTTTTCTTATCTTATCTTATCTTATCTTATCTTTATGAAAAGATAAAGTAGTTAAATTGAATGTAAAAAAAGTAAACTGTTTGTGCTGCATGATTTAATGCTGCCCGCCTTGGCTGGGCAAGACAAAACTATCATGCAGACAAAAATAAGAAAATGCTGTGATATTAGTCATTTTTCGTAGGGCATAAATACTCTATGCTTGTGAGTATTAGTGCCAATCCACAGTTGTTGCTCAAGTGTGCGCTGCTTCTAAAATGATGACGATTGATGGTAACCGTTGGCGTGTCAGTGGCCTTTTGCATTGTTTTAGCATTATGCCAAGTGGACTTTACTTTGGAAAAGCTGAGTGGGCGTTTTAAATACACCATTATCTTAGTTTTATGTACAAACATCTTGTTCAATATTTGCCAAACTGCTAATTAATGTGAAGCGAAGTGAGTTCCAATGCCACTATACAAGTGGTCCCAGTGGCCTTTGTACTACATCCTGTAGACATGTCATTTTTCCACATACGTTATTAATTTATTGTTTAAGTCAGCTGGGAAAGGCCAAAACTCACACCCAGCCCTAATGATGACAAGTTTTTTTTTGTTTTTTTTTAAATGGATGGAAGAGCAGGATTTACTAACTTGTTTGTCATTCTTTTTGACATCTTAAGCCACTTCCGAGTGGATCCAGTTTTTCAAGGATGCCGGCATCCCAGCTGGCCTGGCCGTCACCTATGCAGTCTCTTTTGTGGACAACAGGTAGGTACGTTTTGGATGACTCCAGAAACACAACTATCTGTATGGAAGCAATTAAAAACATTAATTTTCCTGAGGGTAAAAAGGCAAATTGAGCTGTGTTCTTCGCACTTGTGGTTTAATGAAATCATTTACAATATTAGTATTCCAGAAAATGTGGCTAAATTTTTTTTTCATCTGTGTTGCTGCAGAATTCAGAAGAACATGCTGATGGACCTGAGCAAGGACATCATGATGGACCTTGGCATCACGGTTGTTGGTGATATCATTGCCATTCTCAAACACGCCAAGGTCGTCCATAGACAGGTCGGGTCCCACTGTGGATTTGTTGGAATGTTGACAACGGGCAGTCCTGAAATCCATGCCATCTTACTTCCCATTTCCACTGCACAGTACCCGCTTGTCTTGACAAGCCTCTACTCAATATTGGACACGTTTCTGTTGGTAAAATCTGGAACTTCTACAAAGTATTTCTGCCTATACCATTTGGATGACGTGAATCACTGCTGGTCGATCAATGGCCATTTGTCACCGATGTAACCTGAAAACAATAAGCAATACCTTTTTTGAAGTAGAATGCACCGTTGCTGCACAGTGGGAAAATGGCATTATTGCTGGACTGTGGAATGTGCCTAAGAGTTAACTCGAGAATTAATGCTCCAGATTGGGGAGGGAGTAGTTGTTGGCATTGTCAGGGGGAAAGATGGAGTTGTTCAACCTCAAGGCACTTAATTTGGAGTGTAAAATAGAATATATTTTGCAATATCTTCCCCATTCAGGACATGTGCAAATTGGCAACAGAAGCCATCTCCTCAGGACAGACCAGCGTCAAAGCTGAGCTCAGAAGAACTGCCAACACTCGTAAGTACCACTCAGGCTTAGCAATAAATACTCGCCACCCACAAAAAAATAGAGGTTATTTTGTGTGAGTGTGGGAAAAAAAAATTGTGACACAATTCATGATTGAACTCATGCCTATTGTCGATCATGCAAATTGTCAAACTTAGTGCTGTTACCTCATGTTAATGCAATCTGTAGCTCTGTTTAGCTTTTGGCTTCTCTTTTTGTATCAAGAGAAAACTTGGTGTCATGACTTCAAACGCTCACTCATTAGATAAGAAAATCTTTATTTGTCTCACAACGGAGAAATCCCCAATTTACAGCAGCAAAATTATGAGGAGCTGCTGTAAAGACAGCCGCTCTCGCGGCGCCATCTTGCACTGTTATCGGACATGAGGTGGCTTTCCAGTCACAAAATGATTTTTTTTTTTCCCCCATCATCCCTTAGCAGCCACTCGTATGATAGCCAACGCCTTGAGCCATGACTCCCCTCCAACCACTCCAGCTCGTCGCCCCGACAACCGCCTCTCGGTCACAGTGTCCAACGTTCAAGCAAGCAAGGGTAGCAAAGCAGGTAAAGCACAACCTGCTCCATATCTTAGGCCTTTTTTTTCCCCCTCACCATCCATGATTCCATTTGTCTGACCGCTTACCTCTCCTTCTCTTGACAGCGGTCAGTCAGCCAGAAGACGAAGGGAACGAGTTGTCAGCTGCGAAGCGCCGACGTGTGACAGCAGAGATGGAAGGCAAGTACATCATCAACATGCCCAAAGGCACCACGCCACGCACACGGCGCATCCTGGCCCAGCAGGCCAAGAAAGGTAGGCCTGAACCAGCGGGGCTGGGCGCCTCGCCACGTTGGCTCCCGACGCGGCTAATCGACTAATCAGTACTAAAAGTTCTCAACCTCCAATCAAGGCATGGTAGAATATGGTTTGCTCGTCATACACTTGATGCCTCTCTTGGATTAATATTTCACACGACACTAATCTCCTGCTGATAGTCATTTTGCTTTTATTTAGTCAGATCCGTCAGCCTTCCTTCTAGGATTTCCTTCATTTTTCCTGATTCAAAACAAGCGTTGATACATTTTGAAAGTGGGTTTTTTTCCCCTCCAAACATCATAAAAATAATGTGAAAATAAGTGCTGCTTCTTGAAAATAATATCCCCTTTGTCAAAACATACATTTGCAGACACGATGCATAAAGGGGAAATAAACCCCAAAATGTTCCTGAAAATGATATGTTTTATGCATCTCCACTAGTCTCAATGCGTCATTCTGATTAATATTGCATTTGTGCAATATGAGTTGAGCAGCAAAATCCACCTGTTTTTAGCCATCTCAGGGGGCAGCCATTTTGCCACTTTCTGACAACTGAAAGTGACGTCATCGTTGCGTGGCTCATCTTCAGAAAACGGGTGAGCAATATTAA